CCTGGACACCCTGGTCTGCTTAGGCCAACTGTGTCCAGTTCTAGGCACCACATTTCCATTGAAAAGCTGGAGTGTGTCCAAAGGAAAGCTAACAAAATGGTGAAAGGTCTGGAAACCATGCGTTATGAGGAGAAACTTAGGGAGTTGGTGATGTTTAGCCTGGAGAAAAGAAGGCTAAGAGGCGATATGATAGCCCTGTTTAAGTATTTGGAGGGGTGACATATTGAAGATGGAGCAAGCTGGTTTTCTGCTACTCCAGAGAATAGGATTTGTAACAATGGATGCAAACTAAAGGAAAAGAGATTCCATCTCAACATTAGGAGGAACCTCCTGACAGTAAGAGCTGTTCAGTAGTGGAAGATATTCCCTTGGAGAGTGGTGGAGTCTCCTTTTTTGGAGGTTTTTAAACAGAGGCTGGATGGCCATCTGCCCCAGAAAGGGCTTTGATTGTGAATTCCTGCATGGCAAAAGGGGGGGGGTTGGACTGGATGGCCCTTGAGGTCTCTTGCAACTCTATTATTCTATGATTCTATGATTTTTCCAGCTAAAGACCAAAACCAAATATACAGTGGGCCTTCTACATTTGCTGGGGTCAGGGGCACAAGACCCAACTGAAATTTATACAACATGAACTCAATTTAGAATTGGGGCTATTTGCTGCTGAAGTATATTTTGAGCTGTTGATAATGCATGGAAGGGTAATTTTCAAAAAAAGAATGATTGTTCATCACATTTCCATGTTTTTCTAGCACTCATCGTGTCAGCTTTCCAATCAGAGGAGGGCAGCTGATTGCCAAATAAATGAATATTCTGCTCAGCAGGCAGAGATGTATGTCCCTACAGTTATGCACTATAACACTGGGGCGGGTTTGCACAGCTCAGATCTCCATGTCCGCAGCAAAGAGGTCACAAAAAGATGCTGCATTAAGCATCTCTCCCTCACACCCCGGGGAAAGTAGCAGCAGCAGCCATAGTTTCTTGGAGACCATTGGGGAAAAAAATACATTTTGGGGTAGGGGTCTCCCAATTAATTTGAATGTATGCATATGTGGTGTGTGCTTTGAAGTCATCTCCAATGTATAGGGACCCTAAGGTGACCCTGGTATAGAATCCTAGAATCCTAGAGTTGGAAGAGACCCCAAGGGTCATCCAGTCTAACCCCTTTCTGCCATGCAAAAATGCACAATCAAAGCACCCTCGATAGATAGCCATCCAGCCTCTGTTTAAAAACATCCAAAGTAGGAGACTCAACCATCTTCTAAGGGAATGTCAAACAGTTCTTGCTGTCAGGAAATTCCTCCTAATGTTTAGATGGAATTTCTTTTCTTGTTGTTTAAATCCATTGCTCCAGGTCCTATTCTCTGGAGCTGCAGTGAACAAGCTTGCACCATCCTCAATATGACATACTTTCAAATATTTAAATAGGACTAACAAAATGAATTTCAATACGGAGGAATGTAAGGTACTGCACTGGGGGGGGGGGGATGGGGGGATGAAATGCATATAGGATGGCAGACACCTGGCTTGACAACAGTACATGTGAAAGGGATCTAGGAGTCCTAGTAGACCGCAGCAGCTAAAAAGGCCAGTGTGATTCTAGGCTACATGAAGAGAAGCATAGTGTCTAGATTGAGGGAGGTAATACCTTCTCTTTCCCAGGCTAAACATACCCAGCTCCAGTTTCTCCCCATAGCTCTTTATGGTTTCTAGACCCTTCACCATTTTGGCCACCCTCCTCTGGATATGCTCCATTTTGTCAACATCTTTTTCTTTGTGCCCAGACCAGGTGAGATCTGACCAAAGCAGAACTGTGTGGTACTATGACTTCCCTTGATCTAGATACTCTACGTCTATTGATCATGGGATTTTCTTGTGTCAAGATTTATTCAGAGGATGTTTGCCATTACCTTCCCCTGAGACTGAGAGCATGATGTTATCCCAAGATCACCCCTCCATGCACTTTCTCCTTTGCGATTACCAATTGATATCAACAGGCTGGCTGAGGCATGTAGCTGCAAAGGTGCAAGGATCACTGGTTGCGCAGTGGTTAAATGTGAGTCCTGCAGCCACAACATTGTAAGTTCAATCCTAGAGGAGGGCTCCAAGGTTGGCTCAGCCTTCCATCCTTTTGTAGGCTGCTAAAATGAGTCCCCAGCTTGTTGGGGGCAATTGGCTTACACATTATAAACCATTAGGAAGTGCTAGTTCACTGATAAGTGGTATAGAAAGGTACTTGCTATTGTTTTTTATGGTTTTTTCGGGCTGTGTGGCCATGTTCTAGAAGAGTTTCTTTCTGACGTTTTGCCAGCATCTGTGGCTGGCATCTTTAGAGAATACTGGAATGGAAGAGAGTGGGTCTATATATACCAGGAGTAGGCAACCCACTCTCTTCCATTCCAGTATTCTCTGAAGATGCCAGTCACAGATGCTGGTGAAACGTCAGAAAGAAACTCTTCTAGAACATGGCCACACAACCCGAAAAACCCACAAAAAACTATGGATGCTGGCCATGAAAGCCTACGACTTCACGTACTTGCTATTGCTAAGGTGTCCCCAGGATGGAGGAAGCTGCCAGGCTGTATAAGGAAATCCGGGATCATGTAAGGAGATCCGGGAGGCTAATCAAGAACACATAGCCAGAAAGATATAATCTGAGATCAGAATCTGCATAAACCCTTCACTGATGGGGGTAGTTGTGGGTTCTAGTTCTTGTGTTAAAAGCAAACAGAAATAGAAGAGTATCTCCTTCAGGGAGTGATATTCTTTGCTCCAGAGACATTTGCATTGATTGTCGGACCATTTCGAACTCCCCTTCCAATTCTTCCTTCCTGGAAAATCCACTCCAGTCCTGAATCTTGCCCTGGGACAGGCTTTGCACTGTAAATATGCCTGCTTAGGCATTTCCAATTGGGTCAGACAGACCCTACCCTTATCTTGCTTGACTCCTCAGTTTGCTAGCCACACCACAATCCCCAGGCAGCATGCTGAGCCACTTCCATTCCACTTCCACTTCACAATGTCCCCTGACTGAAGTTCTGTATTTGGAATCAATAAAGTATTGCCCTTTGCAACCCTTAGAGTCGCTGTCTGCTACCACCTTTTATTTCATTAGTTCTTGCATGTGTGCATGACTGAGTGTCTTAGCATGAACGGTGATTCCCTTTGATTCATAAATAAAACGATTCTGGAACTTGCATGCTAAGTTCTGTTTCTCTGAACCGATATACACAGGCTTGATCCCTGCTTTGAGTTGCCCAAGCCCTCTTGGCTCTTTTTAATTGAGCTAATAAATGTCCCCTATTTAGTATTAATTGTCAGTGCCCTCCTAGGACCCTGGCATTTTTTGCCCAAGATCACCCAGTGGCTTTCATATCTGAGGAGTAATCAAACTCTGGTCTCCAGAGTTTGGCCCCTATGACATGTTGGCCAGCCTCGCAGTTTAGGGATGCAAAAAGGACCCTCAGTTTTTCTCAATCTTCTACACAACGGCCATTCAGAAAAAACAGCTATATCATATTCCCTTATGCCTTTGTTGTTTTTATTTGCTGTTGAGTCCAACCTATGGTGAGACTATGAATGAGACATTTCCAAGAGTCCTGGTCATTGACTGCTCTGCTCAGGTCTTGCAAGCTCAGGGTTTGCATTTGTAATGTAGTTTTCGTCTTCTCTTCCTGCCTTCTACTTTCCCCAACATTATCATCTTTTCCAGGGAGTCATCTCATCTCATTATAGGCCCTGATTTTGACCAACTCATTAGTTTACTCATTTTGGCTTCTAGGGAGAGTTCAGGCCTGATTTGCTTTTGGACCCATTCATTTGTCTTTTGAGTAGTCCATAGTATCTGTAGCACTTTCCTCTAGCACCGCATTTCAAATTAGTTGATTCTCTTCCTTCTTCACTGTCCAGCTTTCACGCCCATAAAACAGAAATCAGAAGTACTGTGACATGGTCAAAAGGTCTGGAATTTACTCTGGAAAACTATTACAAAATGCTTTCTAGATGGCACCTCTCACCAGGTAAGTTAGCAAGGATGCACAGAGGTCAAAACAATAAATGCTGGAAATGCTCAAATAACATTGGTACATTTTTTGCACACACGGTGGTCATCTAACAAGACAAG